TGTTGTGGTTTATTTCTCGTGACAAGTTATGTACCTTTTATACATTGTTAATAACGAACACAAACTAAAAAGGAAATAAAATATTAGATAAAAGAAACAATTTACAACTAACCTAGGTGATAAAATACGACAACACAATGCAGTTATACAGCTACAGAAGTCGATTTAAGCAAATTATAATGGGTTACCAAATACAAAATAGAATGAATTGGAGTAACTAAAATTGCATGTGCGTGTGACTTGCATACATATAAAACATAATATCCTTATACTTTATATCATCCCCTGTTATCACAGCCGTCATACTGACGAAGTCCAGTTGTGATACTGATTTGGAATGTACACGAATTAATGGACCGAAACATTCCAGTTCAGTGTTCCCCTCGTACAGTTTCCGTCTGCTGCTATAATTTATTAGTTACCATAGATTAAATCATAATTTTATGCGTTGCATTTCGGTAAACCACCGGTCTGAATGATTTTGCGTAGTTTCAGCTCTGTCTTTCTAACCTCATAATTTTGCTTGGTGCTGAAGACATTAGCATGCAGTGCTCACACCGAGTATTCTTGGCACTGAATAGAATTGCCAGTTTCGTGCTAAATATCCAATGAAAAACTAAAAATTTTGGTTTTTTTCTGGAAAGATAGCGTGTTTCTCCGGAACTTACTATGAATCCTGCGTAGTACGAGCACGTAGCAGATGTTTACAGTGATGTGAACTAGAACGGAGAAAAGAAAAGGTGAACCGAAAATACGAACATATGCCATTTTGGACCATTAAGCAGTAAACGTCTTAAGTTAATATCACACAACCCTTCAATTCTAGTTTTCCAAACAGACTTACTCCTATTAGACAGTTAGCGTTGAGTAAAGGATAAGTTACTGATTCAGAACGAGCAGTCGACACGATCCTGGTCGGAGAAGAAGTTCATCCAGACATCGACATCGTTCCGGTTCTGTAGATGCTCGTTCGCACCGCTCCTACAGTTCCGAATCTGCTAGCACTTCTTACACAGGTAAACTTCACTAATATTATCTTTGCGTAAAATCACTTTATAAAATAATAAATTTGGAGCCATAATTGGAATGCTTGAAAAGCTGATAGTTTGTGGTCTGATTCAACTGTGCATTTGGCGACTGGCCATACTAACATTCATTTTATCTGCTGAAGGAATTAGCAACTCAACAATAATAGAAATTTTCAGCAATAGCGTTTCTTAGTATTTACAGAAGAACCGTTGCGGATGAGGCACCGCTCTCGAAGTTTCGATCACTTTAGCGAAACCGGAAGTGTACCAATTGATGATTATAAAATGCATGAGATACGACGACGACATCGAAGGGACCACGGTTTGAATGGACGGGATCGTTCAAGTCGTTCAAGAGACCGCCGACGAGGTTCACGTAAAATCAAGCGTGAGCAACGTGATGCCAAAGAGTTCGTGCAGCCTTTCAAATTTCTTTTTTTTTCTTGTAATTTTAAAAACTAAAATAGAATTCAGTAACAATGACACGCTGAAACATCTAAAACTAACTGGTGCCTAATTCTGGTGATGTTTGGAAAAAAACCATGTAAATCAAGAACATCATTTGGGCGTCAGGGTAGATGTCTCGTGTTAGCGATGTTGCTGGAATGCTCCCACACGCCTGTTGCAGCTGTGTGAAGTCCTTCAATCCTGGGCTGCATACCTCCAGTTAGTATCCATCGCCTATTCAATGCATGTAGTATCCACCACCGAATGATCTTTTCTTTCCTCATGGATACCACTCACAACGCTCAAAGCAAGCAAAATGTCCGTGTACACCAACTGCCACTTAAATATAATTCATTCATGTTGGTCTGAACAACAAGCGCCAAAGAGCAGCAAAAAAGAGACGATTTCTGGAATAGGTGTGTGCCGGCGTGTCGTGCACTTTAGGTCCAAATTATGCAAAAAATATTTCTAATTTTTGCACGACCTTGGTTAATTTTTAAAAATATTCTAATTTTTGTATGGTTTTCACAGAAAAAATATTTTTAGCGCCATTGCAAGGGCACTGGATCGTGGCAATTCTTCACCGACGGTTGCTGTTCAAACCGATCCGATATCGTCACGCTGGCCATTAGATTCTCGAGAAGGCCTGACATTTCCTCAGCAAATCATCATTCCACCATCACGTGGAAGTACTGGCCCGGATGGACGTCCACAGCCGCAGACTTATCAAATTAACTCCGAAATAAGGATCTCATATGACCAGTACGGTCGACCAGTGGTCACTGATAACGCAGCACTGCCAAGGGAACAGCAGCACTCACAGTCGATCTCCTCAGTACGGCAGCAGCGTCAAGCACAGGTTCGAATTATTACGATAAATAACAGGATACAGGTCTTGTCTTAACTTTTTTTTTTTGTTGAGGAGAATTGAGGGAAAAACCCAGGCTGGAACGCACCAGGCGGGCCGGTGCGATTATGCGTTTTTGCACTTCTCGTGC